TATACATATATATATATATATTTTTTTTTGGACAGAGTTACACACAACATGCTCGGCAAATTAACAAAAAAAAAAAAAAAAACAATAGACACTTTCAACACAGGAAACAATTAGCACAGATTGCAACTTGCTACAAAATCAGTTGATGACGACGCTAACGTAGACAACGTTAACCGCGTTAACCGAAATGCTGAGAACAGAGAAACAGAGCAAGAAAATTACTGAATTACAGCGTTTCGGCACGTCTATGGTTAAACCTTGCTGCGTGATAGTCTTCGCCGTGTTGAGCATTTGCCAAGCTGTATGCACGAATCAATGAAACACCAATCGGAATGCAATTACCGCGTTCGCTGTTGTGCACGTAGCGCAACACGCTGTGGCGTGTAACACGTTTTTACAAACACGTGCACAACATCCCGCGTAGCAGACGCTGATTTTAAACAGAACGTGCGCGAAACATTAATTTTCTTCCAACTTTGTAACCGCGTAAAAGTTGGAATACAAAGCGCGCTGTTCAAACTGGACCACGCTCGGACGAAAAATGGCACTGTTTAACTTGGGTTTACGATTCCATTTTGTCGAAAGGCGAGGAAGGAAAGTCTAATAATTTTTGAATAGCTGACTCCGTGTGGATTTTTGTACATTCGTGGGGGTGTTTGCAGACAGAAATAAATGGCGATGTATAAACAAATGTACAGTGTGCAGTGATTTATTTTGAAAATGGTCCAGGTCCGTTTATCTTTAAATCAAGATTTTCAACAGTTTGCGTTTTAATAAATTTAAAAATATTGGTGGCGTGACGTTTTTGTTTCTCTAAGGGTGTATAATTTACCAATCTGATTAGTACGATAGACATTGTTTAGAAAATAACACGTTTCTGAGGGCTATGAGCTACTACTTTAATAATAAAAACATATGGCTCTTGTCTCATAAAATTTTACTTCATATCTTAAAACGGGATTTAAGCCAATTTTAAAATAAAAATTTTTGTCATTCGTTTGACCGGCTAATTTCTAATTGAACAGCTAATTCTTTTTGTACAAAATCTTGGCGATTTTAAATATATTAGTTACAATTTGTTTAAAAATGAAAAAAATAACGAGATAGTGTAAATATTAAAAACAGCCAGCTTGATTTCAACTAAACATTTCCAACAATATATATAGAATTATCGCACGCATAGATCGTTCGGGGAAGTTGCGCCACGTCTCGAGATATCCTTTCCGAAAACGAAACTTCGATTTATTCCACAGACGTAGCTGGTGAAATCGTTCGCTCTTTCAATCCACGTCCAGGGAAGTTTCTTTCTGGGGAATTCAGCGTCTGATATCATCGGGAGATTTCCGCGAAGTTGGCCATTGTTGTGCAACTGTTCGTTCGTGAAGATACTCGCGATTGATAATCATTCAAAATCTTAAAATTAAGAAAATACGTCCAGCAGTTTCAAACGATAATTGTCCTTTTTTCTTTTCAGTTATCCTGCGCCATTCGAAATTTTTAAATAAATAAATTGCTGGATGGATGAAAGTTTAAAATATAATACTTAACTAAAATATACTACTAAAATATAACTAAAATATAATACTTAAGGATAAGGCAAAAGGCACGAGAATGAAATTCGTGATTTTACAAAATGAGGTTAAATTCGCGAATAATGAATTATTATTAATTTCGACGATTGTCGTTCATTGTGTTAATCATGTTTATTCCATTTTACAATTTTAAACTTTCTTTTTTAATCATGTATTTATTATATATTTAGTTTAATAAATGATATATATTTTTCTTAATATAATACGAATGTGATTATTATAAATATATATCATTTGTTAAATCATAACGTATAATCGTCACTGTATAACTCCATTTTACATTATGATATTTACAAAAAAAAAAGAAACAATCTTCCATATCATTTATGAGAATGAAACTTTCTGAAAAAAAAAAAAAAAAATGAACATTAGAAGCATGAGAAGACAATTCCTTTTGAAGCGCTAAATGGTTCACTCCGTATCGACACAAAAAAGGGAAACGCCTATTATACGTACAAGGCATTATCGCGAACAGATTGAAAAATCGAACGTAACCGAAGGTGTATCCCGCAGAGAGGCAGAGGAAATGAAATTTCTTGCAGCACTCTGCCGTGTCGTTCCGTGTTATTATGGAAATTCACCGGGGCATGTTGCACAGTTTAATTAATCCGGATCGTTGCAGTCGGCTCGTTTAAATTTAAGTCAAACCGTTTAACAAGTTTCCCGAGCCGGTTAAAAAGAGACGGGGCGAAATAAATGCGCGATCGTTGGCGAACGGTTTATCGAAGAAAGAGCGGGCGATTTCTCCGAATAAAACTTTAACCCCTTCTCGACTGCGCTGAACTCAACGTTCCCTTTCGCTTGGTCGTACTTTCTCACGCGTGATGGCGTGATTTTGAATGTTGCAAGCGTAGTTTCAATATTTAACATTTACGCCGAGTGACATTAATATTACAAGTATACTCTGATATTTAATATTACGAGTGTAACTCCATTTGTTTGTGTCGTTTGCTGCGGATGTTCCATTTGAAATTTTTGTACGAGTTGATAATTGTGGGGAAAGTTGATGATTTGTTTTGGGAGGTTAATAATTTTTTTATGAAAATTAATAATTTATATATATATATAGTGTAGAGAAGCTTCGTATATTTTTCTTGGATGGGTAGAAACCCACATCTTTCAAATTCACTCGGGCAAATACAAAAATAAAAATTAATTTCCTGATAAATTTAAATATATATAATTATATATAACTTTTCATTATGAATATTAATATTTTATCAAATACAATATTAATATTTTAAATTTAAATATATATATTTATATATTTATATTTATATATATTTATATATTTATATTTATGTATATTTATATAATTATATTTATATATATATATATATCTTTTCATTATAAATATTAATATTTTATCAAATACGACAAATTAAGTTCGAAAAGTGGCAAATGCAAGAGAGTTTCTGGAATTATTAAGAAAACTATATCGATCAATATTTATTGTCGTTTCATTGATAACACACAGAAAATTTATCAAGCAACAAAGATTTAACGAAGCGTAGAAATCTGTCGACTCGATATTCCAGCAGTACATGTTCCAAGGGTATCCTAATTGGCCATGAAAGTACTTTTGTATCTTCACTGTGATTTAATTGGAAATCGGGGTGAAATTCGATGGCAAGGATTCAGTAATCGTTGACGGGAACGATGACGTCTAGCTTCTTCGGATTAACTTGATGAGGGGAAAAGTTCGTCAAACTCGGGATTCACCGAACGAAAATATGAAGTTATAGCCTTGAGTTGAAGTTTATTGATCAACTGTTGGTACCGATCAAGTTGGCAGAAAAGAAACTGCCAGTCTTACTTAAGGAAGCCATAACCTCGTAATTGCGGAAATAATTCCGTGGTTGCGCTGAGATTTATCGTTCGATAGTTGGCATTGATTTTGTTACGGTCTTAGTTTGCAATAATTGAATTATAGTTAAGTATCGCGAGCTCGCTTGTGTCGTTACTTTGGTAGCTAGTAGTAAATTATCGTGGTCAATAATAGCAAAGTGAATTTATGGTAATTGTTATATATTGGTAAGATGGTGTTCTTATTGTTGTAACGTATAGTCGATCAATTTCTCTATCATTATGGCCAAAGTTTTGGACGTACAGTGCTTGTATATCTATTTTATATATTATACTTTTTGGCTCTATTGTATAATATATTCAGAATTATTTAAAAAGCATTGTTACACATTTAACGTTCGATTGTTAGATTTTGTTCTAATTTCAATCTTCGTTGAATGATCAAGTGACATCCCTCTTACACAGGGTGGGTCAAAAATAAATCCGCAAAGAAATATTACATATTTTTTTCAATTATTATTTTCTGGCGGTCATTGTTCGAAAGGGATAATTTTTAAGACACAATGGAAAAATTATGAATTTAATTTAAAATTAATAAAATTGGTTTCTTCTTTTATTTGTTTATGTTTCATTAAAAAAAGAATAATAAGTGGGAAGAAACATGCTGTACTTTCTCGATTAATCGATGGATCCAGAATCTTTTTGCAATCAATAATTTTCAAAGAAACTGGTAATAACATTCTGCGATTTTCTTTATTCTTTTTACGTCGCTTTGCAACATTGTGTCGGTATTATGTCAGCGCATATTCCTTCTGTTTCGATATGGCACTTATGGTATGGCAATTCCATCTGCTGCATATGTATATATATATATATATATATATATATATATATATATATATATATGGGATGTTACAATTTAAATGTTACTGTAAAGTAGATTAACACTTAATATACATGCTTATTTATAGTATATAACTTCATTCGCGAGCATTTTGTAATTGCAACAAGCACTGGTACTCTTCTCTTAGTTAGAGAATTAAACAAATAAATATAGTAATTATTTACTAACGTGCTTCGATTGTGATTGTAAAAATTGTTCAACCTTTTCTATTTGAATTATTTAATCTCTTGTTAAATTCAGTGATTTACATGGGTACACTATCTATATAGTGTTGGTTTCAAAAATCGAAGGAATTCTTGTAGTTGGAGGTGGGAAATAAATGAACGAATACTTATCTAAATCGAATACATACCAACGAATATATCCTATATATTTTTGTATTTTATACTTCATGCTTATGTTATACATATTTTGTACAAAATTAAGAGCTTCGTTTTAGTTACCTTTATTATGAATATACATGAAAATTACATCTTTGTGTATTATTATTGTGGGATGGGCAAATTTTGGGAAAGGGCCCAGAACTCTCTTCAGTGCCCGATTGCAGATGTCTCAAGTAGTGTAGCATAAACAGTAGAGAAAGTTAGGCCTGGGGCTTGAGATTGTTTATGGCTAGCCCTCCAGGCCTAGCGTTTAAGACACTAAAGATATGGATGCGTTTATGTGTATGTGTGTCTGAATGACGAATTTTTGTGCAGATGAGGAAGGCAGTGAGTGTCGAGACATCAGAAAGAGCAGAGTGAGTGTCGAGATGTCAGAGAGAGCAGAGTGAGCGAGCCGTAAAAGAGAGAAGAGAGTGAATTGAGAGTTGCGAGTCTAGCCAGTTTAGCAATTAAGAAAATAGCGTAAAACGTCACTTTATAATCATCGTTAAGCAAATTTTCTTTTATTTAACCTTAAACAACTATCCTTTAACAAAATTCCTACAAATTGGGATCTCAAGCCAGGATTCCTACATATATATATCGTTTATTCTGCAGATATTCGCGCAAAATTGCTTCCTACAGGTACACGAGAGTACACGTTGCAAATCTACTTACAAATTGTCGAAATCCACACTGTGTAAAGATTCTCATCTCGTCGGTGTTGCGCGAGTAAATTCTGATTCTCTTACGTGAAGCTCTTTTACTTACGAGGCAGATTAATCGAAACAACGCTCGTTTCCGTTGATCCGTGGCCGCGAATGCAATTAGAGCGTCACGTCGTTTTGATAGAGATCGGCCGTAAATGGCGATCACGATTTGATCGTTGATAGGTTGCTATGAAATCAGGGACGAAGATGCCGCGGATGGGACAGAGCCCAGGCTTTTCTCTGTATGGACAGCGAGCGTGCACGCGATCGAAGAAAAAAAAAGGAAAAAAAGAAAACAAAAGAGAGAAGAAATTCGTGAAAATGAAATATCGAGAAAGCGAGCTGACAGAAGGAGAGCCGCGAGGGGGATGATCGATGCTCGTTAGCACGAGGGTGGCTGAATCCTTCACGCGCAATTATGAACGACGCTGCACGAACTCGTCGAGAAATTGAACTTCTTCGTCTTAAGAGCAAAATTTTGTCAGGGCGTTGCACGATGATGAAACGAGCCTTGAACATGCCCGGTTGTGTAACTTTTCGTACCAGGGGGCAGAGGGTTGATTTAACAATGAAAAAGCAGGTCGGAAATATTTTCTCGTTTAAGAGATGAGAATTAATTAACCCTTTGCTGCCCGGTAAATACAAGCCCAGCTTTTCTTTAATTTATATTGTAATTAATAGTGGTAATAATTATATTTACGTGTCGATGATTGTATATTGTTAATTATTATACTTGTATGTATATTAATTATTATACTTATATATTAATGTATATTAATTATTATACTTGTATATTAATTATGCATTAATGTATATTATATATTAATGTATATTAATTATTATACTTGTATATTAATTATGTATTAATGTATATTAATTATTATACTATTTGCAGTATTATCGGGTACTTTTACATTGGATTTCTTATTAGGTGTTCATGACAAAATTCTTATGAGTAAATAATCTGTTGCCGCATGAACGCTTTAAGAAACATTTATCGTTATTAATGAACAAATATAATAGTAAAATAGTGAAACAATGATAAAAGTTTCCAGTTTGGTTTTAAATCGAAAGCAAGTTTTTGAAGATCTTCTGGCTTCAAGAAGCATCTCTCTTAATTTCTCGAGCGAATACAGCTTGTCATTTCGCTGACGAAATTCAACTCCATCGAATAGAAACATATGATCGTCAAAATAGTATTTGACGTAGAAAAGTGAGACAAAAACAAAATTTCTTCGTTTCCAAGAGTGAAGATTGATCGAGTGCACGTCCGCTAAATTAACTTCTAACGAGTGTGCTGCATCATTTCTTTTGGATCTTCCTCTCGTCAGTCAGTCGAAAATTTAGAGCAGTAAAAACGTAAGACTGCTGTCGGTGTGTGTTGCACGTGTTACAAATTAGGGTATTTGTCTTGTTCAAGAGATCCGGATGCGTTACCTTGAAATTGCTATGACCAATTCGGATGCGAGATGCTGCCACTCGGCCCTGTCTTGATAAGTTATCGTCGCGAGAATTGTTCCACAACGAAAATTGTAGCGATACAATGGCCGAGAGATATGGGACTAAAAGGAACTAAAATTAAGGGACTAAGACATTTTGCAGTGAACGTTTTTTAAAATCTTTTCACATTCGTGTCAGTACACGTTTTGCACACTTTTAGGAAATTTTTATGTATATACTATGTGTATTCTGTAAAACATTTTCAGATGTAATGAGACTCAGCTATTATAATATATACTAATATAATATTATGATTATATTGAATATAATATTCAATATATTATATTAAATATAAGTATACTAATATAATATAATTATATGAATATAATATTCAATATATTATATTAAATATAATATAATATATACTAATATAATATTATAATTATTGATCAAATATAGAATAAATTTCAAGGTAAATACATATATGGAAATTAGAAGATATTTAATACAAACATATATTTCGCCTCAAAATCATAAAGATGCACAATATTCAATGAAATCATTTTTAACACTAACTGTGTGCATATAATAATTGTTTATTCATACTAGCTTGGAGAACATATTGCAAACGTCTATATTTTCAGATTAGTTTCAAATTTCATCAATCGCAACAGTTACCAATCTCTCGTTGGTGATAATCCAAAATGTTTTTATATAATAGAAATAATAGAACATTTTTCTATATATACTTACGTGTATGTAAATACTTTCACGAGTCAGTGGATATAAATATTAAATATGTAATAAATATAAATATTAAATCTTATATTTATTCACAATACGGTGCATTTCACTCTATTCATTTATTAATTTGTATCAGCAGCCTACAGATATATCAATTTCGAGGAACAGTCAGTTGCTGACAGAAGTTTAAACCGTGACGAGAAGTAGTTGGAAAGGTTTTCGTTGTTTGCGAGCTGGTACGAACTATCGTGAAAATTTGACGCGTATCTAGTGCAGTTCTCTTATTGCAACAATAGCGTATAACGTGTATGTATGTATGTATATATATATGTATATATATAAAGTGTAAAGTTTCGAAGTTGAATGCCCTAGTCTCGCGACAAGTCGCGATCCGTAGAAGGAACAATATCGCGATCGCTTTCGCACGGTTTTACTACTTTGTGCTAAATTTGACAATAAATTTCGCCCTTCGGCCTATAAAATTTACGACACTGTCAAACTTAATCCGTGGACGTAAATCAGCAGATTTTTAATACCTCCGGCAGAAAATAGTTCTTGTTCGTTCGGGGCGAACAATTCAGGATCGGTTGCAAGATATTTCTATGTGAGAAGAAATTAACGTTTCGCTTTCGTACGCGCTTTTGCACGAAAATTAAATTTTATAATTATTGCAATTAAATTATTGTTAATACTGCAGGCGTTTTATTGCGTAAAGTATCATTTTACTTCTCTTGTCTCAAAGTAAATATAATAATGTCGCTTTTGTGCTAGATGATTATTAAATAATATATTCAATAGACTATATTTTTGTCGTCGCTTTCAATTCACTTCAATTAAAAGTATTTCACTCGACGGGATCCGAAATTATTATTGGACGGTTCAAAATCAAATCTTAAATAATAAGTTTCATATAAGATAGTACGAGGCGAATAATATAGAACGAAAGTGCGACATGAAATAAATACAATATCGAACATGATAGCCAAAGTTCGAAGACATATTAGAAATTGAAACGAAACACAATACGTTGATTGAAAAATTATTTAATGAAATCTTTTCTTCCTTCTTCTTTTTTTTTTTTTTTTTTTTAATTTAATTCACAGTATCCTGACTCGATTACATCGCGCACCTTCCCTTTGAAAACCCGGCAGTAATTAAATTCACCGGCAATTTCGCGGAAACGCAAACTTTTAAATTAAGGTACACGATGACGGTGGATACCGTTTTAATTTCATAATTTTCGAAGGATTAGCGCCTCCGGTACGTGAGCCTCCTTCATAATGGCATCCGCAGTGTCGTGGTTCTTAAATACCACCTAGGGACACAAGAATTCTCTTATTGCGTGAATTAAACTGCATGGAACTGCAATGGAACTTTTCGTTCAACTATCGGTGAATTTTATTGTCATGCGAACAATTTGAAATAAACTTCATTATGTGTGATTTACTATTCGTTTAGAATGGTAAAATAATATATTTACTACGTATTTGTTGCGTAGAATCTATTAATATTATATATTTTCAATTAATTAATACATATCGAATAACACAATAATATATCAATTAGTCGAGTATATTGAACATTAATATATATAACGTATTAAAATATATACTTAAATTAACAAGTAATATCAATCAATTCAATAATTAATATAACAAACCCAATTATTTAATGTATTTTATTACCAATGTAATATTAGTAATTTTTCATATTCTTTTTATAATATAGGTGTACTTTATATTTGACAAAAGCCATAAAAATATGTTTCTTTTTTTAATGGTTTAAAATTGAACGGAATTTCATTCAAGTTAGTGAATATTTTCCGAGAAAATTGTCAATAATCTGATAAAACGAACAGAAAATTTAAAACATGTCATATAAAAACGTATTTAGTATATTTCGCAGCGGATTTAAATAAACAAATAGGTGCGTAATAAATATATTACGCTGCAAATAAATGAACTAGTATCATTCACATATCGTTCGACGTTAAATCTGTCGTACTTTTTCCTTTCTTTAGCGGATATCAAGGGATTATTTTCATTAAAATTCATTACTTACGTGGATATAGTCCACGCTGGATCGGATTTTAATTCTTTCTCAATATACGATGACTCTGTAATAAAGAAGTTCAAATCTACTTCATTGGCTTCGAATTTTTTTCGAAACACGCGAAACCTTTAAATTCTACAATTTTTACCTTCCTCCACACACACGAAAACCGGCCACGCTTGTAACTTTTTTTTATCTCGAAATGTATTCAACTCATTTCTTCAGATTGAGCTCATTTATTGCGAGTAGAAGATAGACACAATCCTCTTTAATTCACAGCGGCAATAGCCAATGAAATATTCGTCGAAGCCGGAATCAATAATAAATAGAAATTGTGAAAACTCCAATCAGCGACAAGTGAAATTTTCATTTCGTTGCTCAATCGAACAGAGCACTCAAAATTTCGACTATTCGGAATATTCTCCCTCTTGCCCCTCCGCAATTAAACGAGACGCAATATTTTACAAAA